CATTATTTGGGGTGTGTTTTCTTCCTACAGCACTTTGAAAATATATCTAATATTATTTATTCCCTCCTGGATGTCTAGAGTCCTGGGATTCTTTCATTAGGAGAATGCATATTTCAATACCTACAACTATAATGTATACTTTGTCATCTTCCGCATCAGACAATTCTTCTTTCTTAGAGTCTATTCTTCAGTTGTTCATTCTTTTCTGCCTCTTTAGTGCTGATGCATTTTACAAAATTTAAAAATTCAGAAAGACACTTTATCATTTTCCTCTGCATGTTTACCTCCTGTGTTTGGTATTCAAGCTGCCTACAATGTTGTTTCCTTTCTTATGCTATGGTTTCTAATTACAAGATGTCGCTATGGGTGGGGTGGCCCCCTCTGAACCGGCATCACATGGATGGCGCCTTACTCCTCACCGCGAGGGTGCCCAGGCTTCTCACGGTGTCTCTCAAGGGTGACATCTTAACTGAGTATTGCTGCTCCACATGGTGGGTTAAACACTTGGCCCATGTTATGGGCAGCAGGGGGTAAAGGTTTGGTTTCCTACCTCATACAGCTCTGTACTTTGGGAATAATTTCCATCTGGTTTCACATTTGAAATAAAATTATTACTTCTCTCCTCTTGTAAACAGGTAAGTTAATGCAAATTTTTAACTAGATCAATTGGACCATTGTGCTCTGTTAGTCTGTTTTAAGAAATCATGTTGTACACAATAAATATAATTTTATTTGTCCATTAAGAAATAAATTAATTTCTTTCAAAGAACCTCTACCCAAGTCCAATTCTTTATAGACTTGGCTCTTCATGTGCTGTGTGTGTTACACACACTTCAGGAAGGTCCTATTTCCAAAGATTTCCCTCTCAATTCAAATGTGCTTATTAATTTCATCTGTGTCGGGCACACTGCAGTCTCATTTGCTGCCCTAGTGTATGTACTTCAGTAAGCAGAACACTCCCTAGGAAGGTCCTTTGTAGGAAAAAATAAGTATATTTTTTAATTCTCCATGACAAACGTTGAAAGAAATATAGAATGAATAATTTCTAAAGACAGGAACTGTACAAGAGCATGAAGACAAATTTCTGACATGCATATGAAGAGCTACAAGATGATCATAACAACTCTGAAAAAATAATATGAAATAATTACAATTAATTTCTAATTCATTTGTTATTCAAAACATAAAATATTTGAGTCTATTTAGTGTAAGGGAGAAAGGTTACTTTCATGTGGTTGAGAATGTATTTTGACACAGCCATTAGGAGGGACACCCGAACATGTCTCATTAAATTTTTCATTCCATTGAGAGAGTGGCTGAACTCGTAAATACCTTCTCATGCCATAAAACTCATTTGTGAAATGTTAATGGTAATTGTGGGGAAAATAGAAATTCACAATAACCCTAAATTCCAAAAATTGTTCATCTACATTAAAGAATGCAGTAAGAGAATGGGCTGCACCATGTGCAATATTATGACCAAATATTTTCTGAGTTATATTATTTTCTGTTCAGTGACTGAGTCCATTTTCTGTTGCTCTAACAGAATGGATGAGCACAAGGATTAATTTATGAAAGACTGAAGTTCATTTTACTCA